GACACGCTCGAGTACGCGGGGAGCGGGTCCCCGCCTGAGACTCCGCTCGGATTTCTTGTTCAGGGCTTGGGTTATTTCACGTTCTGCGAGGTAATGGATCCCACACGTGGGCCTTTGGGGTCAGAAACAGCACCAGAATCAGCCAGCGCGGCTCCTTCTGCTTGTGCAGACGGGTCTGGCCAACAATCGCCGGCGTGCAGCGCTTTAGCCCCCCAGTGCCTGTGCTGAGACTTCTCCCGGGCGGAGAGGATGTTCAGCCTCCCTGAAGACAAGCCTTTCTAAGGCACGAAATACTAGTCCTTCAGCACCATAGAAATGGTCACGGTTGGAAACAGGAAAAAATGTTATAGCTCCCACCCTGATGCGAAAGAGGAAATACTGGATAAATTAAATTGCCATCTGTGTAGCATGAGCGGGGACTGAAGACCCCTTGCTGTCTCATGTGAAAAGTAAAGTTTGAAAGAAGAACTGTAACTGCAGTCAGCTGGGCTGTGAGATTGTCACATCCGGCACATCGAGGGTGCCTTTTTTACCTACTGTTGATTTTTGTCTGTTGATGAGCACTGTAGAGTGAAAGATACAATTAAAAATTAAGATCAAAAGAGTCTTGTCAAAGAAGGAATAGAAACCTCATTGTGTGGGAGTCTGCCAGTACTACCAGTCTAAAAATTTGATTTCAGAATTTAGAAATAGTTCTGTTGTTCAGCAAGGCCTGCTGTAGCCTTCAGCACAGGTGAGGATCTTATGCCAGGAAGAACGTAACTGCTTTACAGATGGTAAGTAAATTTGAAAAAGGACTATTGGCAGCAGTCACATTTGGCATGTTCAGAGGATTTAAAACAAAATACAAGTCTCTGGGCATTTGCTATGTTGAAGCAATGTCAAAATGGCTCAGAGGTTCAAAGTAAAAATTATAACGTCAGAGAGCTGAGTATCTGGTTTGGTTTAATTCTGACTGAACACTGTGCATTGATGTGGAAATTGAAGCAAAGAAAGGGTAGGTTTTTCAAAAATACATGAAAATGAATGGAGTGTTTTCCTATTAAGTTGATTATTGCCAATGGGTGACAGGTTTTTTGTATAAGACTAGTGAAATAAGTGATGATAAAAATTTTGTTTTCTGTGTTGCCAGAAAAATTATGGTGCTGTTTGATGCCAAACCCAGCACAATCAGTCTATCACAAAAAATCCCCCAAAAAACAAAGAACCCTCTTAGGAGGTCCCTCCTGTTGTTACAAAGAGATGAATTTGTTTCAGCTTCTGCTAAAAATCTCCTAAATGGAATACAAGGCCACATTTCCACTTCTCTTCTTGTAGGTGGGAAACTACCTGCGCATGTTTCGCGGTTCCCTGTACAAGAGGTACCCCTCGCTCTGGAGGCGACTGGCCACCGTGGAAGAAAGGAAGAAGATAGTGGCCTCTTCACATGGTGAGAAGATGAGTAACACTACATTCCCAGTAGTGTTTATCCAAAATTTGGCCTTGAAAAACTGTCCCTGGCGATTCAGAGGCTTGTGCACCCCAAGGGCTGTGTGAATCGCTCAGGCCGCCCCGGTGATGGAACCCCCTGCAGTGGTGGCACTGGTGGCTCCTGGTTCAGCCTGGCAACAAATATCACCTGATCAAAAGCGTTCTGAAATGGAAACAGCCATCGTGGCATTCCTGGGCTTGGCTGCATTTGTCACAAAGCAAAAGCCACATCTCCAGTGATGCTATATAATAATAATAGTGTAATGATACTGTGTTTCAGAAAAGTTTTATAGACAAAAGAGGGGCATCATTGCCTCTTTTGTCAAATAGGCAGGAGTGTTGCAAGGATGCCCCATTGAAAATGTGCACCTTTGCTTAACTTTGCTCCTGGCAAAGTTTATGGCTGCCAGAATTTGTGGTACATTGCTACTGATGTGAGTACTACAGGGAGAATATTGGTATTGTTTTTGTTAGGGCACTAATAGCAAGCAGTTAAATTTCTCAGCAATATGACTTCTTGTATGCTCTGTAGACTAAAGCATAAAAAAAGTTGTGGTTTACTCTGGACTTATGTCTCCTTCCCCCAACTATCCTGCTGATCTCTTGCTTTCTTTTTTTCCCCCCCAACAGAAAATCAGCGGTCTCACAGTCCCCGAAGATGTAAGTCTTATCTGTGTGTTATTCTTAGCTGTGCTAGAGGAAGAATGTCCACAGTGACCTTTGGTGCTATTACAATAATATTAATGTCTAGCCCTCTTCCTCTGATCTCTCCCTGTGGTCGCCCTAATTGTGCATCCTGATCCCATGCCTAACTCCTCTTTCTCAGAGCCTTAGCAGGACTGTCCAGTGCAGATGGTCTCTGTCATTCAGCAAGAGCTGTCCTGAGGTTTCTCCCCCTTTTCCGAGTCTTAACAGCTTTTCTATTGATCATTGCCTCTCTATTTCCAACCTTTAAGTCCACTGAGGATTTATTGTTTTCTGGGCTTTGTAAATGTCTAAGAGAAGATAGATGAAGCCCAAAGGACGCTTGTAGCACTTGGTAGTCTATTTTAGTTCCTCCTGCAGTGTCAGAGAGGGGTTGTCACTATGTAGCCTGTTAATCTTACAGTGCTATGTAGCCCTTTCTCGTGTTAATTATTGGCCTCTTTCCTGGTAATAGATCATGGCTATACAACATTAGCCACGAGCGTGACTCTGTTAAAGGCCTCTGAAGTGGAAGAGATCTTGGATGGAAATGATGAGAAGTATAAAGCAGTGTCCATCAGCACAGAGCCTCCCACCTACCTCAGGTAACCAGGGTTGGTGGGGGCCAAGCTCAGAATGGAGCTGCTTGGAAGATGTCAGCTTGGGCAGGAAGCGCAGGCCATTGTGCAGGGCTTGTTTGCCAGTGTGATTAAACAGTTTGCAGTGTTGGGCAAATGGAGATCTCCAGAGCCTGAGGATTGGGTTACTGCCCACATACAACAGGAAATAAAACGTAAGTGTTTGATGATACAACTTTTTTTGCAATTACTGCATTCCATCTGTAACAGATGTTTTGCAGAACACACTCCCTGCACATACTGCCTTCTGGAGACCTCGCATTTCTCAGTAGTCTTTTTGTAAAGTGTAGATAGAAAGTCCAAATATGAACCTAGTATTTATAATGCTGCACCTGGATCCATATCTGATGCATAATTGTGAGCTGGAGAATGGGCTTCCCAGAGGCTGGTGTGGAACATGAGTTCTTGGAACAGTAATGTGGATGGTTCCAGAATAAAAGAGCAGGAACTCATGATAGGACTTTTAAGTTTAAAGTTATGCCATTCCTGACATAGTAACAGTGGTGCTCAGGGTCTGCAGTTTAACATCCACTCTCCTTCCTCAGAGAACAGAAGGCAAAGAGGAACAACCAGTGGGTGCCGACCCTGCCCAACAGCTCTCACCACCTGGATGCAGTGCCATGCTCAACAACCATTAACAGGAATCGCATGGGCAGGGATAAGAAGAGAACGTTCCCTCTATGGTAAGAGCTTCCTGCTTCCGGAAAGTGGAAACAGTTACCAAAGTGATACACTACAAGGGCGGTGCTGTTGTGATTCATCTCTTAATTGACAAAAGGCCTGCAGGTTGCCAGTTTGGAGGCTCTTAGTTAAATTGTATGCCTTGAGGCTCTTCCTTACAGCACCCAGCCAGGGCTCAGAGAGGAGGCTTTCCTTTTGTCAGGGCAATGGTTCATTCTTTTCCTGATGAGTTCCTTCTACTTCCTGCAGATTTGCTGAGCAGTTGTCCTTCGAGAACCCTCTCTGTGAAGGACAGCCTCCCTCTCACCACCATGTTCCAGTAACTTTGATCTACTTTATTCAGTGGAAAGTGCTGCTGGGGCTCATGACTAACTTTTTTCCATTCTAAAACTTGAAGCAACCAAGATAAATGTAATCCTGGAAAGCTTCCTTGTTTTATTTGCAAGAATGTATTCTGAAAGGTGTAATAAAAGGTGATAAACTGGTATTGGTTACTTTTAGCTGTAA